GAGTTCTTTGTTTACAAAATTTTGCTAATTAGCATCAAGTTTAAATTAAACAAATAAGTAAAATAAGTTTATAACGTAAAAAGGCTTATTAAGACCTATAAACTACGAACGTTTGAGGTTTTTACATGCAACAGTTTGAGATATTGACCGTCTGAGATATTAGTGTTCAAAGATGCTGTGGGAAAAGCGCTAATTAGCTCATATAATCTCTCTAAAAATTGTAGTTTTTAAAACCGTTTGATGCGAAAAGTATTCCATGTGAGAAGCTCAATGCTGATTTACTGATAGTTAGGTTAAAACGTTATATGCTTATGCAAATGATATGTTAATGACCGAAATGTAAACAAATTATTCGCCTATAAAGGCAAATGACGCCTATTTTTTCAGAGCTAAAACTACATCATCAGGTAAGACAAGTGTTTCTTACTTATTTTTTCTTTCAAAATTAGCTTCGGTTGCCTGTGGTAAAAAAAGCTAGTAGTGCCAGTAGAGCTAGTAGAGCGTTTCATGACTTTTGATGTTATTCTGTGGGCTTCCTGTTTCCTCCTATGTTTAGCGAGGGCCTGGGTCTGGAAACACGAGGTCGAGGCTAGAATTACGACATATTGTGCAAGAGATTCATTGAAACGTTCCTTTTGCTTCTTGTCGTCGGCCTTTCTAGATTGGATTCGTGAAGGCGGCGAACAAAAAGAACGATTTCAAGATGGTAAGTGACCATCGTTTGACAATCTTGTTTAATCTTATCGATAGAGACTTTGTACGATGACTTTTTTTWWAAATTTGTTTTGTGTATCATTTGAAAGTGCCTCGAAATCTAAGTTGAAATTGAATCACAGAATGAAATGGTCGCCATTTTGCCGACACGTATGGTCAATCATTTTGACCTTAAATCCTTTGAATTATTGAAATCATGTTCAGTACATTTGAAAGGAGGCATGTTCTGATAATACTCTCTTTTTTCAACTTCTAGGTGAACTTTACGATCGATCAGGTAAGATTTTTCTAGATTTCTATTTGCCTATTAACTTAATACAAAAAAAATTCTTAACGAAATTGCATAAGTTACTGGCTTTTTCCCCAAACTGTAGACTTGATGTAGACTTAGGTAATTGTAAATAAATTCATCTCCTATTGCCATGTTATATCACATAGTAATTTGTTGCCTTCTCTTRTAAATATTGCCATAGAGAAGTTATTGTAGATTATTATATCCTATTGATCAATAAAGCTCATTGTTAATAGTAGTTCGTCCACATWATTGTACATTGCATTTAGAGCCAGTATACACCTAATTGAAAAAAYGTAGWCGTGTTCGAAAAGGTGACATAGARGCTAAGACCGAAAGGGATTTTGAGTACCACTAAATTGGGATTACATTAGCATACACGGTGTACACTAAGCAAGTAGAGCTAGTAAGATTAACAGCATGATAGTCTTTTATGTTGGAGAGCTGTTTGTTATTAAATTAGCCAAAT